CCAACCAAATTATCACTATACACTTACACTTTATTCTGGTATTGAGGATTATAGAACATTAGCAAATATAACTAGTTCAATTCGCAATGATTTAATAAATTTGAAAAATCAAGGATTAATAATTGATAATATTAAATGGAATTTTCAATTTTATTTCTCATCCGACTGGAAATTCTTAGCAATATGTTTAGGTTTTAATAGTGCTAATAGTAAAAACTTTTGTCCATGGTGTACAATTAATAAATCACAACAAGGAGATTTATTAAAAGAATGGAAAATTTCTAAAAAAATGGATATATTAATTGAACAACCAAATTATTACAAAGGTCATTTAAAAAAACCTCTTTTTAATATGATTGAACTTAATCATTGGATTCCTGATGAACTGCATATTATGCTTAGAATTACAGATCGATTATGGAGTCTTATTATAGCTGAATTAATTGAATATGATTTATTTAATGATATTGCACGAAATATTATTGTCGAAGAAATGAAAAGAATTAATGTAATCTTTCAATTCTGGAAAAATCATGATTCTAAAAATTGGGATTATACCTCATTAATGGGAGAAGATAAACTCAAAGTCTTGCAATTTTTTGATTTATCAAAAATTCTTTCAAAAAGTCGTGCTAGTACTATAAAAGAACTATGGGACAAATTTTATAAACTTTATATAATGATGAAGGATCCTAATACAAAAAGTGAAGATTTTCAATACTATGCAAAAAATTGGCTTACTTTATTCTTATTACCATCGAAAGGAACTCCAAATACTCAAGAATTTAAAAAAGGGTTATATCGACCTGATCATATAACACCTTATATTCATGTATTGGTACACCATATTTCTGAATTTATGACAATTCATCAAAAATGGGGATTGGCGGCATTTTCATGTTGTGGAGTTGAAAAAAAAAATCATGAACAAGTATCTTTTTTTTTTCAAAAAACAACACAAAATAATAATGCAATCTTAGAAATATTACAATATGAAAATAGAATACTTTATTATAATCAACATAATACTTCAATAGATCACAAAAAACCACAAAAAATTAATATTAAAACTTAAAGTAATTAAATTATTGTTTTATATTTAAAATAGCAATATTCTGCATATAATAATAATTTTATATGTAACATAATTTAATAAAAGAAAAATCTATTAAATAACAGCTTGGCTAATATAAAAATAAAAATAAATATGACCCGCTTGAGTAATATAACCATTAGAATCAATATTTTTTTGTTTTTTCCATTCAACTATAATTTGTCCATACTTGTATTTTGGTTTATAAACTTTTTTATTTAAAGTTAATTGTTGTGTAATAGCTTGTTTAATCGGATTGTCTTCATTTTCAATAACATTATCATCACAAAGTACAATATAAGTAAATTGTTGTTGATCATAAAATTTAATTCCCCAATTTTGTGAATCTAAAATATTCGCTAATTCTTGATTAGACGAGCTTCCATGAAATATACATTTATATTTATTTTTTGTTGCTGAATAATAATGTATATAATTTTTAAATATTGCATAAAATTGGCTTTCAGTAGCAGGAACTAGTACTGTTTGTTTTCCTAATTGTTTGTATCCTTTTTGTAATCGTTTGTGAATATAATGAACTAAAATGCCTTTGAATTGTTGTATAGTTGTTTCAGGCAAAATATCAAGATCTGAACGTGGAGTATTATATTTCATAACGATATTGAGGTGTCTTTTTAATCCTCTATTTGTGTTGTATAAATTTCCACATATGTTACACTCGAATTTTGAGACGGTAGACATTTAAGTTACTAAATTAAAGATCATAAATATTATTATTGATACGTATTAAAAAACGTTTAATAAATTAATATATACCATATATCGAAGATCAGTAAATTTTAATAATAATAGAAAGAGATAAGTTTTACCGATAAAAAGAGATGGGTTTTACCGATAAAAAAGAGATGGGTTTTGAGGTGGGGAGATGGGTTTGACGTAAGAATTATATAAGTTTTATTGGTTTCGGGGTATAGTTTTATATATGCGTCATGTGATTGACGTATAGTATGATGCAAAAATTGCAATCAATCAAATAGTAATTCAGGGTTTTTAATTTGGGCCCAATTCCAAAAATGCGCCCGTATGATTAGGTAAAAATAAAAATAAGTAAAATAAATAAATAAATAAACTATTATTCAAATTAAACCTTTTATGCAATAATTAAAATTTCTTTAATATATTTATATGAATACAATAAAATATTAATCGACAAGATAAATAAATTTAGAAGTAACTAGAAATAACCCGAAACTAAACATCAAGTAAAATGCTATTGTCGTTAATAATATATTTTAAATATTATAAAATAATAATTTAACATTGAATATAATAAAATTTATACTTACTAACCAATAATATGACAAAATACGTATCTAATGAAATAACAATCTTATTTTAGCTAATTACTAACTTAATAAAATGGTTTGATTAAAACAATATATATTTTAAAAATTACTAATTTATGATTAGTAAATATAATAAATTATATACTTACTAACTAATAGTTTAACAAAAATATTTTTAAATATATATTATTAGATATAAATATATTTAAGTTAAAAATTATTAAATAATAAGTTTAGAATAAATATAATAATTTAACAGATGAATTTGTTAAATATATCGTTAGTAATAAATATTCTGGATTAAATTTAAATATAATAAAGTTTGTACTTACGGTCTAATAATTTTATAGAAGCATTATTAAATATATTCAGTATACATGCATGAATTAAAAATTTATTTCCAAAAAAAATGGAATAAACATATACTTATGGACTAATAATTTAACAGAACCATTTTTAAATATATATTATTAGGTATAATTAATACTTAAAAATTATAATTCTGATTTTACTTACGTAGCAATTACTCTTCAGAAGTATATTTAAATATATTTTATTATATATAAATCATATTTTAAAAATCACCAAATTATGACTTCTAAATAAAGATTATACTTACTCCCTAATAATTAGCAGAACTATTTGTTATATATATTTCATTAGGTATAAATAAATATAATAAATGTGATACTTACGATCTAACAATTTAACAGAAGCATTTGTTAAATATATATTTTTAAACATTAGATACAGTAAATACATGATTTAAAAATTATTAAATGATTAAGATAAAGTTTATATTTACCCCCTAGTAATTTAATAAAAGATTTATATAAATATAATTTGTTGAATTTTCATCAAATTATAAATTTAAATATTGTACAGTACTTACGATCTAATAAACATTGTTAAATTTTATCATTATGTATAAACCATATCTAAAATCACCAAATTATAAACTTTAAGCAAGTAAATATGCTAAAGATTGTACTTACGGACTAATAATTTAGCAAAAATATTTGTTAAATATATATAATTAGATGTAATTTATATTTAAAAATCACCAAACTATAAAATTTAACCAAATAAATGTATTTAAAATCGTACTTACGAACTAATAATCCTATAGAAGTATTTGTTAAATATATATAGTTATATATAAATATGCTAATTAAAATTTATTTCAAAACCAATTATAATAAAACTTATACTTACACTCTAGCAATTTAACAGAAGTATTTGTTGAGTATTTATCATTAGTAAAAATATTTACAAATTAAAATTTAATACTGAAAAAATATAATACTTACTCCCTAATAATTTAATAAAGATTTATAAAACATAGTTCATTAAATTTCATCAAATTATAAATTTAAGCGAATAAATATGTTAAAGATTGTACTTACGGACTAATACTTTAGCAGAAGTATTGTTAAATATATATAGTTATATATAAATATACTAATTAAAATTTATTTCAAAAACAATTATAATAAAGCTTATACTTACGATCTAACAATTTAACAGAAGCATTGTTAAGTATATATTATTAGATATAAATATTCATGAATTAATATTTATTTCTGAAATAAATATAGTACAACTATACTTACGGACTATATATTTTAGACATAAAAGATAGATATATGATTAAATGGTAATTTTAAAAATAAATATAAAACATAGTTCGTTCGATTTTCATCAACTTATAAATTTAAAGATTACTTACGGACTAATAATTTTACAGAAGTATTTGTTAAATATATATCATTAGATATAATTCATATTTAAAAATCACCAAACTATAAACTTTAAACAAATAAATATTTTAAAGATTGTACTTACGAACTAATAATTTTACAGAAATATTTGTTAAATATATATATAGTTATATATAAATATGCCAATTAAATTTATTTCAAAAACAATTATAATAAAGCTTATACTTACAATCTAACAATTTAACAGAAGTATTTGTTGAGTATATATCATTAGTATAAATATTCACAAATTAAACTTTATTTCTGAAATAAATATAATAAAGCTATACTTACGACCTAATAATTTAATAAAAGATTTATAAACATAGTTCGTTAGATTTCATCAAATTACAAATTTAAAGATTGTACTTACGATCTAATAAATATTAGTAAATTATATCATTATACATAAATCATATTTAAAACACCAAATTACAGAAGTATTTGTTGAGTATATATTATTAGTATAAATATTCACGAATTAAACTTTATTTCTGAAATAAATATAATAAAGCTATACTTACACACTAATAATTTAATAAAAGATTTATAAACATAGTTCATTAGATTTCATCAAATTGCAAATTTAAAGATTGTACTTACTCTCTAATAAACATTAGTAAATTATATCATTATATATAAATCATATTTAAAACACCAAATTACAAAAGTATTTGTTGAGTATATATTATTAGTATAAATGTTCACGAATCAAAATTTATTTTTGAAATAAATATAATAAAGCTTTATTTACCCCCTAATAATTTAATAAAAAATTTATAAAACATAGTTCATTGGATTTCGTCAAATTATAAATTTAAAGATTGTACTTACGATCTAATAAATATTAGTAAATTATATCATTATACAAAATCATATTTAAAACTGCCAGATTATAAATTTAAGCAAATAAATATATTAAAGATTGTACTTACGGACTAATAATTTAGCAGAAGTATTTGTTAAAATGTATATTATTATATAATTCATATTTAAAAATTACCAAATTATAATCTCTAAAAAAATAAAGATTGTGCTTACTCACTAATAATTTAGCAGAGATATTTGTTAAATATATATAGTTATATTAAAATTTATTTCGAAAACAATTATAATAAAGCTTATACTTACGATCTAACAATTTAACAGAAACATTTATTAAGTATATATCATTAGATATAAATATTCGTGAATTAAAATTTATTTTTAAAATGAATATAATAAAGCTTATACTTACATCCTAATAATTTAATAAAGTTTTATAAAACATAGTTCATTAGATTTCATCAAATTATAAATTTAATAAACATCAGTAAATTATATCATTATACATAAATCATATTTAAAATCACCAAATTATAAATTTAAGCAAATAAATATGTTAAATATTATACTTACGGACTAATAATTTAGCAGAAGTATTTGTTAAATACATATTATTAAATATAATTCATATTTAAAAATTACCAAATTATAAATTCTAAAAAATAAAGATTATACTTACGGACTAATAATTTAGCAGAAACATTTGTTAATTATATATCGTTGGGTATAATTATATTTAAAAATCTCCAAATTATAATTTTAAATAAATAAATATATTAAAGATTCCACTTACAGACTAATAATTCAACAGCATTTGTTAAATATATATCATTAGATAAAATATGTATAAACTAAAATTATTTCAGGAACTTACTCTCTAATAATTTAATAGAAAAATATATTTAAATATTATCATTAGGTATAAAAATGCATGGATATATTTTATTAAACATATAAGTAGTATAATTTAAAATTATTAAATAATAATTTAAAAATAATACAACAAAGCTTATGCCATCCAAGAATAAACTATTATAAGGCAGCATATTAATATAATTACCTTCTTCCAAATCTTCCAAATCCAAAAAACCAGGCAGTTGTTAAGCAATCATTTAGAAGAATTAGAATTAAGACGATGAAAAAAAACTTCATACAATTTAATTTCATTGTAACGATTAAGTAGGATAGATTATAAAAGTTGAAAAGTTGAAGCAAAAATTATTGAAAAATAAATGAGTTGATAATTTCAAGTACAATGATGAATTATAAAAGTCTCGAAAACAAAAAGTACTGGTAATAATAAAAATAACAGATAAGTTGACAATTTATAGTGTCATTTTATACTAAATATTTTCGATTATCATTACCGTATAAATGCCCACTTGCACGTTATTTCGAATACACCAATGTGAAATAACCATATATTCAACGTCCATAAATGTACGTTGTTGAATAAGAGCATTTATAGAATAGTCATTCATGAAGAATATAATATTAAATAACTACATTAGGCTGATCAAACTATGTATCTTATCATATCAGGAAAATGCATGTAAAATACACTTAGAAAGTATTAACAATAAATTATGTCCAACATTAGGATGTGCGTTAATTCGGGACGCCTATGAACACTAATTCGAGAATTTTTGAAGGACTGATTTTCAAAATAACACTCACAAGCGTCGTTATTTACGGTATCCCTTTTTTAAATACAGTCTCTATGAAAAAAGTTTTATGGAACTTTAAATGAATTATACAGAATATTTAGTATAATTCACCAAAAACTCCGTATTTTATATACGGAATATGC